CCGCGAGGGTCGCGATCGTGACTGCGTGATCGCTGATCGGGGCATCTGTTTGCTTATAAATGGTGGAGACGTGTGTTATTGTTGTAAAGAAATTCCATTCTTTATCTATCTATTTGTTCTCGCGTTACAGGTTCGAAATTATTAACAGTAAACCTAGCGCTAGTTGAAATGATCAGTTTTACATTTTTTATTTCAAACTTGTCGAAATTAATTAATTTCTCATCTGAAGCACATACTATAACAACATTCTTATAAAGCAACACACGTCGGTCACGTTTGGAGAGCTATATGACTCTCGAAGAGTCAAGTCTATTAAAATTTTGGGCAATATCAAACTTAGAATCACTTCTAAGAAAGTTTTTCGAAGAATGTAGCCGAAGCATATAAAATGTTCACCATTATCTAACTGCTGCGCTTACTTTTTGTAATGCTGATTAATTGTACAACAGCTGCAACTGTAACAAACCTGAACCGAGGATGAGTTTAACCCTGTGGAGTTTAACAAATCGATACGCTCTACTGTTTCTGACAGAGATTTTCAAGACTTTATCACTTGCTTTCGAGAACTTAAAGATAGCTTCGAAGATAATGAAAATGTCGAAATTGTCATTAGATTATGATAACATCTGTAACATCGTACAACAACGATTGTACAGAAAGAAGAAGAACGACAATTGCGAACGTCATTCTCTCGAAGGATTAATAAAAGAAATGAAAAGATAAACACCGCACGATTTACTTCGCGAAAGAGTCCATCGTTTTCGGATGCGTAACGGGCAAGTGATTTCTGGACCGGCCGGAGAACAAAATATTCTGTCGGACCGTCGAGAAAAGCGCCCCTAAAGCTCGGCTTGGCCGTAGCAAACTACCCGTAACTCAGCGAGTGTTTATGAGGGAGCCGCTCGTAAAAATGCGAGCCCCGGCCGCGGCCCGTTTCGACCGTTTAACCGGACCACCCCATCGCGAGCCAGCCTCCGGTTCCGTGGAGAACAAAGAAACCCCGAAAAAGACAGTGTCCGTGGAGAGGAGGGTGGCGGCGGGGGTGTGTTGCCGGCTCGTAAAACTCGGTCCGATCACCAGCGCCAATTATCCCGCCGTTATCCGAACGTTATCCGGAACGTTATCCACCTCTGGCCACCCGGAGCCTTCACGAAACAGCCCTCCCGCCATCATCCGAATCGCAAGCGAACCCTTGAGCCCCCGAAGAGAGGGCCGGCCGAGAGAGCAACGCTACTTTCAGCCCCTAACCCCGGCTAGGTAACCGTTGTTGTCGCCTTTTACTGCAAACGAAGTGATTCCCTCCTCGTAAACGCGACGTCTTTACAGATTACACGGCCCGGATACGCCGGGGGTTGCCTTTTCTTCCCTCCTGTTTGCTTTTTTGGTGGCTGAACTCCACCCCCGCCCGCGTGTAGCGTTAAATTGGTCGGGTGGTTTTAGGTGTGTTGTAACGCGGCCACCCCTATTTTGTTCCGACGGGCAACCGGTCGCCGATACCGCGGTTTTTATTTAGCCCGAAATAATTGTAACGGAACCCGCGTACCAAGAAGTCATCCCCGCCATCTCTGGTACGTCTAGGCTATCTCGGATTCAAAGACAGAAATGGAAACTATGTATCTATTATGGTGTACTGTATTATTGGATGACAATTTCTGTTCTCAGAACTCCGATTGCTACGTTATTCAACGTCGAGATATTTCTCTACAGTTCAAGATTAATATTTCGAGCCACGAAATACTTGATTCTAAACTTAATGTTTAATACTCGATTAATACTTGATTCTGTAATTAGCATTTCAAAAACGCAGATGAAATCTGGCCGAGATCTATCATTATTAACGAATGTTAACAAAAGTTACTTGAATTTTCTTTACCTTATTCTCGAATCGACAGGCGCTGAATTTATCAGATGTGCCGAATGATTTATTAGTATTTATGAATGTAGATATCTATTTCTAGCGCTAGGTCCAATTGCTATGATCGTGTGAAGTGGCGATTCACAACTCAGAGAACGAACTTAAGCGAGACCAGGGTGATCGGCGTTCGCCGAAGGAACGGGCAACGATTTCGTATTATTCCAGTGATTCGTTTATTGATAAATGATGAAGGAGATTGCGGCGCTTGGCAACGCGATTATTTCCAAAGCACCCGTTACATGAATTGCGCGGGCAACGCGTCGCGATCAATTCTTCCGTGATAAATCGAACCGACAGGCGACGCGTGTGATTACCAGTTTCAAAAATTTCCATTCTCGCGAAATTCTTACATCTAACGGGATTCAGACTCTAACCAAGTACATGATTTGCCTATATATATCTAGAGAACAATAGACGTCTAAACTACAAAAGGATTAATACAATGACCTAAACTAATGATTATCGCATTAGCTCTTTCACAAAATAGTAAAAGGTCTTATACTAAAGATGTGGAAACAAATTTTTCTCTCTACATAAAAGATTGTTAAAACAAATAAAAATCTGCAATCTATACGTAAAATGATTATAAGTATGAATCGAACGAATTCTTAAAATGAATAAAACTGTTTCTATTAGTAAAATTGATGTAGCGAATAAACAAATAAAAATCTGCAATTTATACGTAAAATGATCATAACTATGAGTCAAGCGAATACTTAAAATGAATAAAACTGTTCCTATTAGTAAAATTGATATAGTGAATAAAGAAATAAAAGTCTCCAAACTAAACGT